ATTATTGTGTCTGCTGTTAAATATTTTCTGATTTCTCAGAGAGCCGCAATAGCTGGCTAGTTTACAGATTCAGTTCCACGATATAATGACGTATTTATTACCTGGCGGCAATTATACCACACCGAATTTATTTTTTCATATCACATTGTGATTGCAACAAGAGAATATCCCCTACGGAAACCATTACGAAGACACTATCATTCTAATGAAATACCTTGCTTATAATCAAAAGGCCTTACAAAACATCTTTTGCGACAATTTGAAAACTCCCATTGCGCCTTTAGGAGGAATAAACATAGCGTCGTGAAATTGATTCCAGTACAGCGTAGATGCTTATCGAACATAATGTTAGTGCCACTTTACCTGGCTTCTTTAATTTCTCATCTTCCGCTAAAAGAAATTAATACGATGATCGGTCGATGCGCTGATAAGATCGGTTCGCGACACGTTTTACGACATTCAGCAACCGCTTTACGACAAATATGGCCGTAATTGTGTATTGTAAGACGTAAAAACGACGGGTAACTTGATAGAGGCGTGCGTTTCTCCCTTACAGAGCACGTCTCCCCGGATCTTTTAAAGACACTTTTCATATTCATGAAACACCTTTAAAATTTATTGTAGTGTTGATCCAAAGTTAATAAGTTTAATATTGAACTGAAAATACAATTACAAAGATTGATTTTGTTTCCAACCTAAAACGATCATGATCTAATCGTTAAATGTTAATCTAAATGATTTACGAATTCAAGCTCTTTTGAACATTGCCCGTATCCTCATTCCAAAATATTATCGGATGAGTACTCTGAAATAGACCAACGTTTACACAACACCAGACCTCGCAAATTGCATCGCCAACATCGTGTATATGACTGCTAAACCTACGGTCCCAAGTCTAAAAATGCATCATTGGACAATTTCCCCAGTGGAAATGTAAAGCCCCCAGGGGATTTTCTGAGAAGCAATTGTCAGTTAACCTAAATGTTGTCCGTACTTTTTAACAACGTAAGAAAAATTTCCTCTCACAAAAGAGAAACGGAAAGAATAGTATTATCGAAAGATTTATAAAAGCCTTTTTTAAGAATTCATTAGTTATCATTGACACACAAGTAATAAAAATACTCCTGCTTGAACAGGTTTGCAATATTCTTTTGATAGACCTACTTGAGATGACAATAAGAACCATTTTGCTCAATAGACCCACTTGAGGTGACAATAAAAGATATTTTGCTGAATAGACCGCTTGAGATGACAATAAAAGATATTTTGCTGAATAGACCGCTTGAGATGACAATAAAAGACATTTTGCTGAGTAGGCTCACTTGAGATGACAATAAAAGACATCCGCTTGAGATGACAGTAAGGTGCATTTTGCTGAGTACATCCGCTTGAGATGACAATAATTCAAAAGACATTTTGCTGAGTATGCCCACTTGAGTTAACAATAAAAGACATTTTGCTGAGTATAACCGCTTTAGATGACAATAAAAGACATTTTGCTGAATAGACCCGCTTGAGATGACAATAAAAGACATTTTGCTGAGTAGACAATCTTGAGATGACAATTATAAAAGACATTTTGCAAAGTAGACCCACATGACATGACAATAGAAGACATTTTGCTGAGTGGCTGATTGTTTATTTTAGATATGCAAGTACTTGTGCGACTGTTCATACCGTCTGAAGACCATCTATCAAAAAAAAATCACCAACTGTGCTCACGACTTCGTTAATAAATCTAACCGTAATAAGACATTGATACATTTGTCATTTGTTTTTACAGGCTTGAGATAAGAGATTGATATAATCCTTTACGAAACCAATCAATTACAGTCAGTTGTCTTTTAGTCATTTGTTTAAAACAACAAAAATGTTGAAAGTAAACAGTATGGTTAGATAATATTTTCAATTATTACTTTCTCTTTATACTCTATGATAAAAAGCAATCATTCCAAAAGGGTTCGCTCCCTTTACACCAATCGCAACTTTTCGGCCCTTTCAGTCAAACTTCGGATAAGAAATTACTTGTATTATTGACAATAGCCGAGATGTTCCGACTTGGAAGCACTTCCGTAGTACATTCAAACTAAAATGACAGTAAGTTTTGACAAAATTAGCGACTTTCTCCAACTTGCATAATTACAATGCACAAACACATTTCAACATTAGAAACATTAGCCATCACAAACAGCAGGACGGATGCAAATTTTACAACAGTTTAAGTTCATCATTTTGCTTAAAAATGAGAGAAAAGTTAAATCTAAACTCCGAAAACCGTTATACGACCCTCATACATTTCTGGTACGACCTCCCCTTATGAATTAGATACAAGATTACTTGGCGCATCAGGGATATTTTTCCTGCAAAGGAGACAATTTATGTGTATGCAGGTACGTATATTAATATACGTACCTGGTCTATCAAACTTAATTTAAAGTAAATGAAATAAATATTAAAGGTAGTATCAAAATAAAAGTTTCTTGTAAAGTTCAATAGTCAAATTTTCGATTAATGTTTTGGAAAGCATATGGAAACATTTTCTCTCAAACAGAGATTTTCCAAAACGGACATAAAGTATGTTAATTAAACATTTTTAAGTCCAAGATTTACATAAAAAATGTATATATCATTTGATAAGAATAAACAGTATATACAGATGCATGCCTCCAACCACAATAGTTCAAGAAAATCAAACTTGAGAAAAATGTGTGCCATTTGCAAACAATCTCAACACTGTGGAGAGGTCTGATGACCTTTCCAATTAACCAACATATAATGTATGTATATAAAGTCATGCATTTAGATAAATCAAGAATTCCTTTTTTCCACATAGACGATGACTAACAGTTTTATGCGTTCTTATATTCGTTGGAAAAAGTACTTAAACTGACACCGGATCTTCTAAAGAGCGCATCTCGTTCCTCTACCGTTATATTGTCATTGCGGCGTCTGTCATTACAGCATTTATTTACGGCTTAATTTTTTTTTGTTTCAAGTTTGAAAGAAGAATTAATTTGTGACAACAATTTAACCAACATAATGCATAATCAATCTAGAGTCATAAATAAGGATGAACATATAGAAGTGGCTTTGTAATCAGCCATCAAAATTAAGATGTTCAATTTAGATACGTTTCAAGCCCCCCAACACTGCGACTAATTCGCTGTTCACTTAACTCTTTCCATCTGCGTATAATATTTTAATTTCGCATCCCATCAACGGATTTTATTGCCGTTAAAATTTAACACTGTCATTTAAGTGTCATAAACGAAAATTACAAGACGGAAGGCTGTTGAAAAATGAAACTGTGTTTACATGTGAACGTTTAATTACGCTTTAACATGGTGACTTGAGCTACTTTGATAGAACAGTGAAGAGATGTAAGAAAAAAATCAAAGAGGAACTTTCCTTTATTCTACGTCACGCCGTTGTCTCATTCACGCCCTTTGACGGGTGGATAATAACCGGAGATCACCTAATGCCTTAATTAGACATAATAACGTGAGAAATAAAATATCTGTCTCTTGTCACTTTTACGAGTCTTCAATGACAGCTATTAGAACTCGTTCATTTTTTTGCGTGATCACTCTTTTACCTCAAAACAATATGATTGTGCATACGAGAGGCTTGCATGAATAGTCCAATCTGCCTTTAATTTGCTATGGGTCATACCTTTAACACAATCTGAACGGTCTCGGCTATTATCTATAATAAGTGCTTAGAAGACTGACGGAAAGGGCCGAAATGTTGCGATTGGCCTTTAACAGTCACAGCAGCCTCGGCGACCTATAGGTCAAAATATTACACGTTTGGTTGCAGTGTTTGGCGGAGTCTTCAAAATTATGTCAAACGTGGTTATTTAACTTTTCATCTACTGGAACCAACTGAAAAGCCTGCAACAATTTTACAATGCATAAGACCATGCTCTAAACATACCTTTCTCTGTGGAAGGTAGCATTTCAATAAGCAAAAAATAGTTTTATTCATATTTTGACATAGAAAAAATACCAAATCGTTTAAAATACCATATTTATTTTTGCGATATTTTCCCCTTTTCATGTCATAAAGTATCATAAAAATATCTGTAATACTCAAATTTACTTATCACTTTTGAGCAACGGTGAAAATGCAAAGAAAATTAAATTACTATATTTGTTTTACTAAGACACGAGAACCCGTGGTATTTATATAGTTATTTTGTTCTTGTTAAAATGTTTTATTGTCTTTTTTTAAAGTACCATCTAGATAAAAATGCGGGCGTTTTCTCTTCAAGTTTTTTAAGAGCGAAACGCATATAAATAGTCGTGAATAATTTTCTTTTTTAATGATAAAATACTAAAATTAGAATTAACAGTGGATTTATCAATTTCATGTTCATTTGAAATTGCGAGACAAAAAAGATATTTGCATAATTCTTTTTTATGACTCTTGTTTTATTGTCATATTTATATTGAACATATAACCCCTTCACCGCCCACCACCCATTTCTTGATGAAGATATTTTGTTGCCTATCTCTGTTTTTTTCCAATTTCTGAATGAAAATGTTTAAAAACATCCATATCAGATAACCTTAACTTTAATTTAAAATGTTAAACTGTCCAATGATTTTAGTTCTTTTTACATATGATCTGGGAAGACATAATCTATATGTGCTTAAGAAAATGTCTTCAAAATAAAGCCACAGAAAACACTTTATTTAATAAAAATCGCTTTCATCTTTGGCTGAATTGTATACAATATCCCTTTTCTCTAATTCGATATTATATTACTGCGCAAAAGGAAAAAAACTGCTTTCTGTCAAATCTCGAACTGTTGCTATCTCACACATAGAAACATCTGAATCCGATATTAGCAAACTGAGCTCTCTGATTGGCTAATTTATCGATGACAAAACGCACGCGCCACGGCTTCCTAATTAAGGCTTATGAATATTCACATGCCGAGTGCCATATTAAGTCGCAGATTCTTAAAGACAGTTTCACTCTTTGTTTTAACTGATCTAACCGGAAAAAAATTTTTCAATAAAATCTGAAAAGTAAGTTGTGAACTGTAATTTCTAAACTGGAAAAACAAAATGTTCCGACCGCAATTGTTTCATAATCCGGGCTTTCAACAACCGTGTAAAAGGTAAATAATTTTATAATAATGCAACTGTTTATTTTCTTATTTTTTATCATTATTTAAAAATTAAAGATAAATTTTATAAGGCAAAAGTGTAATATCACATTCTGATTGAATGTTTTGGCCAGAAAAAAATATATATGCATATACATCTAGTATTAAAAAATGCCTTTAAGGATATAATTTTGTATCATCTTTATCAAAGTATAAAAAGCAAATAAATATTAATTATAAGGCTAGTTTAAACGTATTTGACATTTAAACGCTTACACGAACTGTGAAATCCTTAAATTACTTTCCGCTCTATCAATTTTTTATTCAAAGTTTTCCTCTCTTTTATATGATAAGTATTATTTTGTGGTTTTTGTTCCTTTTTATAAATAATCGGAAAAAATAACATTTTTATTTATTTAATTTGTTTTATCTACAATTGAACCATGCATGTAAAACTTTAATTATTCTTTTTTCGTATGTGTGGTAAATAATGCAAACTTCAAATAATTATCAAGGCTTGTCGTTTAATTTATAGAAAAATATACATGTAAATATTTCGTCAAATATTTTGTTTTATTTTCTGTACCAGCAATGAATTTTTACAGTTGATTATAGAACAGAACAGAACATAAATTTTATTTGAATCTAACTTGAACATTTACAGTTCATCGTTTCATACAACAAATTTTATATGCACATAGTAATAATGTAAATATCATATCATAATCATGCAAACAACTTTACATATTCATCAGATCATTACAAAGAATTTAATTCATTATTTGTTCTTAATTTAAAAGCATTATATAGCCTAGAATAAAAACGAATTTCGCATATCTTTTTCTTTTTCTCTCATTTTTACACAGTTAAAACATTATATTATTATTATTATTATTATTATTATTATTATTATTATTATTATTATTATTATTATTATTAATAATATAAATATTAATAATAAGAATAATATTACACTTCACTGTGCTGTGAAAAATAAAAATACTGTTTTATTTAACTGCTCAGTATATGAAGAAAACAGCTTTCTTTGAGAGCAATATTTCTCATGCTATACATAAGATTTCTTTCTTTTGAAGGACCGAAAATGTATGCTTATCAGCCAGTCTTCCAAGTTGACATGTACACGGTTATAAATGTGTATAACTTTTTCCGTTCAAAATATGTAGGTGAATTTGAAACTTAAAATGTTGGACAATTTTGGTAAAACCGTGCATTTAGGTAACTGCGGGACGTGAAATTTAAAATCAAATTAAAAAAAAAAGAACAACAAGAAACAACAACAATAATAACAAAAACAAAAACACAAAAAACAAACAGAAATACATTAAAAGTTTCATTCAGTAAAACCTATTAAGAACTATTGAAACAAGAGTACAGTTGACCCTGTTCGAATATGAGTTATGGAATACCAAGTAAATTTCATTGGAATATAACTTTGGAAGTTTTAGATACTTTGACAAGTGTCATCTAAGTATAAAAATGAAGAAAACAAAAAATAACTTTAATGATACATATTGCGTTTGATTAGTAGTGCTTAAGAAATATAAATGATAAACAATGCCTTCGCTCGTTCGTTTCCTTCCCCCTTTACTTCGTCTGTTTCCTTCGTGCGTTCGTTCGTTTCCTTAGTTCGTTCGTTCGTTCGCTCGTTCGTTTCCTTAGTTCGTTAGTTTATTCGTTCCTTTCTTCCTTCATTCATTCCTTCCTTGTTTCTTCATATGACACCAGTACTGGTTCGTTCCACGGAGCGGACTCAAACGTGATTAATATAAGTTGCAAGAATCGACCTAAAATAAATATGTTTAAACCAAATAAACCAATTCCTTCCTTCCTTCATTCATTTCTTCCTTCCTTCTTTCCAATGCTAACGTTGTTGTTGTTGTTTTGTTGATGTTGCGTGCATTAACATTACCACAAATTTAGGTTACTGCAGATAGTTAAAGTGGCGAATTTTAATAAATATTTCAAATATTATGATATATAATCTATAAAATCATTGATATACATTACTGATAAGCCACGTTGATACATTAACCTATTAAATTATGTAAAATAATGACCTAATAATGGCACTGTACAATACCAAGTAATACCCGTATTTATTATTCATATTTCATAACAAAGCCTTTATAAAGTTAAAACTCGGACTTAAATATTGGATACCTCAGGGATGGTTTTAACGTGTGTCGACAAACGGCTCGATTAACGACGTCATTAGCGCCGTATTTCATATCACACGAGGCCAAGTGAAATACTCCAACTTTGCTTCATTTCACGAACACGCAATTTTGATCCTTTATATTTTTTCTAATATTCAAATATTATCTCGAGCATGTAACTAATTCCTGAACCGTAACCTCCTAAATTTCTAAAATGGACTTGTCCAGTGTCTAAGTTTTGGAACTGACCGCTATCAAATTTTCGGATATCAAAAAAAATGTTGGTCTACCGCCAGTATAGAGCCTGGTCAAAGCTGCAGGGCTAAAATTTTTTAGCCCAGCAGAGTAAAGATTAAATGTCTATTTTTGAAATTGAAACATAATTGAGGTGAAAGTGATTTTTTTTTTTTAATACTTTTATATTAGACTAATTTCGCGCAGGGTCTTTCAAACAGAATGCGAAGGGCTTACATAGCGCGCTTCCGGACCATTTTATTTGAAAGACACTGTTTCGCGTTTACGAAAAAAAAATCTGTATAAAATTAAAGTAAGCAGCTACAATGTACTTAAAGGCCCATTATGCCCAAGAAATTATTTTTATTTTTATTCATGAAAACCTTTTTGTTTTTCTTGTCATGTTCTAGTTTCCTAAAGGTAACTCATGGGCCAATCACCTGAATTTTATTTTGCGCCTGTTGCTGTCTGGGGAGTAAGTTCAATTATAGGGATTTAGTATTTTGAATGGAAGTCAAAATACTTCTTTGCTACTTTTATGATAAATAATTTCACATTCAGCGCTACGTTTTTCAGCCTATAATATGCTCTCAAATCATCATTTTAACACTTTAAAACTCCTATTTTACCTTTATAAATAAGAAACAATTTATTCGTTTCTGAGACATAATGTGCCTGTTACTGTTTGCTTGCATGAAGACTCTTCCGACCTATAAAAATATCTAGTGCTCATGTTATATGTATTTATACAGCGTTAAATTGACAGTAATTTTTTCCTCTTTGTAAATTAGGCGTTTTTTATTGGTCTCTTTAAGTCTTGAAAGTAGATGAAAAATATCGCGTTTTCACGAGTTCGTATTGAAAGTGCGTTGTTATATGACTAATTACTTAACATAAATCACAGCATTAATAGCCTTAAGTCAGGTTGAAGTGTGAAAGGGGAATATCAAAGTTCACTAATTGCGTTATCTATTGAAATCTATTTGAATTATTTGAATGAATTGATAGAAATGAGTGCACTACAGGCAATTTCGAAGATTCAAGTTGTTAACAGCGACATAGACATGCCGAATCCGCACAGGGAACCAGGAGAAAGGGAACAAGTCTTGATCAGTTTAATGTTCAAGGAAATTCGGTGAATTAGCAGGGTATAACTTAAGAAAGCCTTGGCGTCATTAACAAATCTACTCGATTAAATAGTTTATTTGTAACTCGTGCGGACATGTATCTGCTTTTAAGCAATACAAACATAAACATCCATCACAACTTTTCGGTCCTTTCCGCCACTCTTCGAATAGCCGAGATGTTCTGATTGACGTAAACCGCATATTTCGGTACAAAGTCACTATAATATCCTTAACCACTCTAAATATCTTAAATGGACTCGTCCATCCCTCAATGTTATCAAAACCATTCATCAGTTTTAAGGGGAAATTTCAAAATAAGTGGCTGGCTGTATAGCGAACAGTGCAGACATTGATTAGACGTCACAGATTTGCCGGCTGTTCTTGGTCTGCGCTGGTCGCATGGGTAGAATCCTTTGCCGCCACAAGGCTATAGCGAACTCAAGGCTAAAGCTAGAGAACTAAAGAAAATAAAGCATAAAACTGAGAAAATAACATTTTTTTATGAAAACTGTTTATAGCGCTGATAAACCGTTACACAAATTGGCTTGCATTTAAATATTCTTTTTTTCTATGATGCCCGTCAATTAAGAAAAATATGAGGCAAAATTTATTTTAAGATTATATGTGAAAAAATGAAATAAAATGATAATAACCTGCAAGCTTCAAGAACACACATCATGTAAAATTTTCTTACGTTCATATTATGTTTAACTTTGATAGGGAGCATAACTAAAAGTTATTTTTAAAGTTAAAAGTGTTTATTTGCGGTTTTATCGGTATTAAGCATGTAAGTAGGCATTACTTTTGCACACTTTAAGATCAAAACTAACAAAAAATTAAACGCGTAAAAATATTTGTTTTTGACGATTACCGATAGCGTAACCTCATATACATAAAACGTAGAAAAATAAGTTACAGAAAGTAGTCACTTCTTAAATTGCAGATATACATAGTTATAATGTGTATACAAAGAAATATTCATAAAAGTTTATAATTTTTACATTTAAGTATACATTTTATCCAGTGCTTTTCTGACATTGTTCGTACGTTGGTCTAGATAATTGATTTTGTTTTCAGTCTGATTATGAAAAACTTGATTGAATGAATGAATGAATGAATGAATGAATGAATGAATAAATCAATCAATCAATCAATAAATCAATCCGCCATTTATTGCACAAATCTGCGTTACGTTTTGCACGAATCAAGCGTTATTTTCTTAATCCGGCATTACTGGATATACACGGTGATAACGTTTTTCGTTGGCCAGTTACCTAAACCATCATTTGGCTCTGTTGCTATTTTGCAGTTAGTACATTTATGTTGATTAAGTTATTTGTACTTGGTTTTCAAAATTCTACTATGTTTGCATTTTCTACATTTATGTCAATTAATATAACATTCAGCGCTACTTCCTTTAGGAAATAAACATACGTGCTCTAAAATGTTATACAACTTATGAGGAAGAAAATGTTTATTAGTTTCTAAGGCATAATGTGCTTTTTAAAAATGCAGAAAGTTTTTGATTATTTGTTTTGTATAGTTTGTGTTCTTACCTTACCTTTTACCTTAATGCTCCCTATGATGTTGTTCTATTAAAAATGATTTTAGAAATGTCTGACTGCATAATGATATAATTCACTTAATTTTTCTTTAAATCTAAAAAAATATGATTAAATCTATTAGGAAAATTAAAAATAGAATACCCTAAGTTTGTGATTCCCAACTCGCAGTTGTATTTCTTTCCACTTCAGAGGAGAATATTCTTTGTTCTTCCGAGAAATTAGCAACAATTGAACGCAACCCAATTTAAATGCCAATATGACGAACTTGAATAAATGCAATTTGCATGTCTTTTTATTCTCACGGCACACCGTTTCATTCCTAATTGAATGCAATTGTTCATAATTGTTTGAAAAAGGTAAAAGCCATAAATTTATCTATCTACTGCTGACGATCAGTATTGCGCCAAGCAAACAGTTAGGTTAGGCTATACTGTATTAAATCATAACGCCTCTTGTGTGGAAAATTGGTTCAAATTATTTCTTTTACGCGCTTTATAATGTCGGCAAAGATCGCAACTTCAAACGACATCTTCCTTTTTTGTAATTATTCTCCGTGACTATTACAGAGTAATAGAGTCCGCCGGGTATTAGTTATCTATATTATTTCAGATCATTAATATAGCTTTCACACCAAGCATTCCATAATTTTCTTCATTAAAATTCATTGTGATAGGAAGAATTTCAATTAATCACAACAAATAATTTTATGGCTTTTAATTGCTACCCATTCCCAAAAGAAATGCGAAATGCCTGCGTTTTAAAATGAACATGTCGAAGTATAGCTTCCAGGAATATTCTACATCACGTTTTAATATCTCGTGTTTAGGGAAATTAGGAAATCTAACTTGTTTTATAGGAATATTACGTGACAGATATTGTCTAAGATATTTTTTGTATAAATTAGTACCTGACAATTCTAATAGTTTTATTATAATAAAATTGATTATAGAGTGTTAGATTGCTCTCCTAAAAGGCACCAAGCGATACTTAACATAGATTAGTTTTGATTGAGATTTCAAACAATAGGGAAAAGCGTAGACTCAATGACATTATATTTTAGACAATAATAATAATAATAATAATAATAATAATAATAATGATAATAATAATAATAATAATAATAATAATAATAATAATAATAATAATAATAATAACAATAATGATAATAACAATAATAATAATAATAATAATAATAATAATAATAATAGTTATTATCATTTTACGATGCATTCATACTTGTTGACTTGTTGTCATTGCAAATATAAAAGTCATTGTACATGGCATTATTGTAGAATTGTAGAATTTCGTTTGTAGCCTCGCACTTCATGATCCAATATCATTCACAAATTTTTGGCTGTTTAAATAAAATGATATAGAATAAAAACTGTCATTATTAATTTGCTGCGCAGTCGAACAAATATTATATGGTGCTTCGACCTATTGCACCCTATTTAAAAGACTGAAAAGGTGTAATTCTCTATAAAGCAATGAAAACAAAGTGTTGTAATGTATCATCGAGTGACACATAATGAAAAGTTTAGAACATCAAGAAACGCAAAGCCATAGTGGCACAAAAACTGCAGTATTCTTAAATGTTTGTCAACGGTCGTTATGGTTATATTGATGCTACATTAATTTGAGCCGCGGCACGGCAAAACCAACATAATGCGTTTGCGACCAGCATAGATCCAGACCAGCCTGCGCATCCGCGCAGTCTGATCAGGATCCATGCTGTTCGCTTATAAACTCTATAACAAGTAGTAAAACTGATAGCGAACAGCATGGATCCTGATTAGAAAACCCATCGCAAACCCATTATTTTGGTTTTGTCGTGACGCGGCTCATATTATAAGTTAAAATTGTGATGACATTGTATCTTCACAAAACACTCGTTTCGCGCTTTTCCCATTAATGTGTTCAGTACGGAAACGTTAAAGTGCCTCCATTGATAAAAATCATGATGTGTAAGTCGACTGATGTGAATAAAATGAATAGATTTGGGTTAAATCAAGGAAAAATCAGTCGCCTTACACCCCTTGATCGCACTAAATGAAGGCCCTTTTACGTTTCCGTATTTCAGAGCTTATATAAATGTTTATTATCTTTATAATAAGAGTTGTTTTTTTCTGGCCATGTTATTATTACTAAGTGCTTCGCGCTTTATAGTAGGCCTGATGATTTACGTCTTATGGAAATTTCAATCAAGAAATTTATGCTTTAAAGTCACAAACGTATCGCCTTTGGTCTGTAATTTTAAACGTGCCTTGCTTAAACAGTATACAAAGCTTTATCTATATATAATTATCAGGAAAAACATTATATCTTTGTATAAATAAATCAAAGAGAAGCCGCTATGGGTACAAACCGGTTTATTGTTGTCATCTTCAACGCTTTGTTTTAATCAGAGTGATTTATTTTAATTTTGCTTCTGAGAGTGAAACCTTACCTTTAATGTAACAATGTAACAGTATATTCTAATTGAATTCCGTTCGTTATTAAAGATTAGAAAAAAAACTCTATACATTTTTTAATTTGCTTCAAGCGTCTATTTTAATGTGTTATTGTTAAAGAGCTTTTTCACATTAAGCATTTGATGAGTAAAGAAGAACGTTAGTTATTTCTCTTTTTTTTTCAACCTCAATTTATCAAATATCCACTTAAAAAGCATATTGCTGACAAGATTCAAAAAAGAAATCAATTACTTAAAGCTTGAAGGAATAACAAGGTTTTATTGAATCAAACGTTGGAGACATAAATATATAAAGAAATAAATGAGTATCCACAATCTATGTCACATTTTTTAATTCAACCATGGCCGAATTAACTACATGTTTTTATATTATACCTTAACCCGTAAATATTGTTTTTGCTTATTATTTTGATAATTTTAGGGTAATTTGTGACGGATTCGCACTAGTACCTTATAAATGTTACTTTGTTTTTGTTTATTCGCATGATCTTTACTATACTTTATAACTTAAGACTTTCACAACTTCATACAAATTAGCACGAACTTGAAGGTGTTTTGCTTCATTTGAACATGCTTGTATATACATGTACATGTACATGTGTTAAACTTCCGTCGTGGCATCGTTATATAGACATGTAACACTGTTTCTAGATTTTCAATGCGTAAAATGATATAATTATGCTAGATATTAAGAAAGGATTAAAGACACGTCCAATGGCGTCAATATGACGTAAAATAACTTCACGAAAATTAAGTTTTCACTATGATTTCTGAAAGAAACGGAACAATACAGTTTTCAAAGCATGTTTTTATGACATAATATATATATAAGAAAGGCGATGGATATTAGTTAATAAACACAACTTTGAATTTTCTTTCGTACATTTCAGCCTCGTGCCAACCAATCAGCTCCATTTCCTGTACCAGCAACAGCATGCGTCATATCCGGTTGACCTTTTACCATTCAAAGCGCTCACCGAGTTGTCCAATCGGCTGTTCCATGCCGAAGCACGTGATCAACTTCCAAAAACATTTTATTTTAATCAAGATGACCTAGACAATGTTCTATATGGGTACACCAGACAATGCGGAAATCCTCGGATGGGTGTACACGCTCTTAGTGGTCTGAAAGTTGGAGAAATTTCACATGGTAAACAGCACTACAATTATTTTGACAGCTGCATTAAAAATGAAAATTCAATAATATTTTTTTATTTATAAAAAATGTGCCATAACACACTTACGATTCGATACAACTTTAAAATTCTTTCATTCTTACTTTGTTTCAAAGCCTTAATAATATGATTTGAGTTCCTGTTATTACAAAGCGTTCGTATCATCGTCGGTTTCCCACGGAATATATTCCGTAAATACAACATTATCTATAATGATTTAGACTATAAACGTGGGTAACCGACGACGATGATGATGCAAATACATTTCCACTCATTGAACTAAGACATGAAATATGCTTGACTTTAATATATGTAAGACAAGGATAACATTAATATTTTTCATATTTCCAAGTGAATGAATTGATAATCAATCATAACTTTCCTTTTTCAGGTATTGATCGCATACTGTCACATGGAAGCCCGGGCTCGAACAACCCATTGATGATGTCAGCGTTCAGATATTCTAGGACAGACCCCCCACCACACGATCTACCAGCGGGTATGTAAACGAGTTTCCTTTTTCCTGGACATTTGTCATTGTAATGAAATTGAGCATGGTATTTGCCGACTCAGAAAAAAAACAAGAAGAGCTTTTACATTATAAATGGACAAATGAACATAAGGGTTACATGGTAAATTTAAAATGTAATCTATTTTAAATGTAATTTGATTTTTTGTTATTTAAAATATTATAAGAATACGATAAAACAGATACGATAAAACAGCCTTTCATCTTCCCCAAAACAACAACATCAACAACAAAACAACAACCAAAATATGAATACTGAGCGGGTACTTTCAACCGACAGGAGAAAGTTTTTAAATTACTGCAAGTGCACATTTTGCAATATTTACAGCTCATCGATTTGGTTGAAGCAATTTAGCCATTGTTTTTAGAATGTTAAAAGGATTTCTTACATGACAAGGACCTTTATGTATAATTGTTTCTCGTTTACCGGCTGTCAAAATGTGAATAACCGTCTGTTAGAGCGAAAATACCGGGGTATTATAAGAAAATTTTGTGACGGACTTTATCCAGTATGAATAAAATATTAAGGACGGTCGGGTATTTAATGATGCTTCGACGTAACAGGTCTTTTATGCGTCGTCTCATACTTATTTATTCATACCGATGGTGCAAATGAAAGCACTGCTTCCCGTTTTAAGAGACCCTAGAACTTCTTTGAGAGTGACAAAAAGAAACCTTTTTTTGGAATCTAATTTCAAAACGTTCTTATTTTCTTAAAACTAACACGCAATTACAAGAAAAAAGGAAAGAAAATTAGTCCCAGATTTAGAATTTTCTGCTTTCCACTCCTAAAATGATAAAGCAAGTGTAATTGAATTAACTGGTATAAAACAAAGTTGAAGTTTATCCTTCATGTTTTACTTTAAACAAATACAAACTTGTGACGTCATAGGTTCGGTAAGTAATTGACTGACGTGTAAATACTTTTCTTCAAAAAAGAAAGGAAAAAAAAATAAAAAAGAAAAAAAAATACTTTTCAGTGACTAGCAATTGGATACTTAATGACATGGTAGGTACGTATATATGTGAGCAATAATCTAAGGCACGTGATTTACTTAAGTTAAGTCTATAAAGGTAATTTTAAAACGAAATATGTTTCCCGAGCTCATACGTGTTCGTTTTTAAGTAGAGATTATTCGTGCAGTATATGGAATATCATAAATTGCACATGATTATTGGCTCTTGGCTAAATTAATGCATTTTGTGCAAAAGACTGAACTAAGTCAAAGGAACCTGGAACTTTTAGATCAAATAATATTAAAGCAGCAGGCCTAAACATCCATGATTATTTTCATGAATTTTTTTTAATTGTATCTTAAAGAAACCTATATTCAAGAGGGCAAAGAAAGTAATTTACACATTGCAAACAGCACTTAAAATCTACGAAAATTACCAAGCATAGGTCAGAATATGCAAAAATAGCCCTTACTCCGTTAGTCACGCAGTAGAAATATGGTGATAAATAATGTAAAATCAGTCATTAATTGCATATAACATGTAAATAATTTCTTGAATTGTGAATTTTTACTTTTCTTAAACTCTTGGTACTTTTTTTAGGTTAATTTTCTTAAAATATTTTGGCTCATCTGCAGGCATGCAGCTTTAAAATATACATACTGCAAATATTGCTAGATCCCAAAACAACACAAAGTATTGATAATACAAACTGAACGAGAAACAGTACCCAACGGACAAATTGTCCTTATGATAAATGTTCTTATTTCCTATAACCTCTAATTTATAGTGTATGGCTTAATTAAAATAGAAAATATGAAACTATTTTATTGTCATATTCACTATTAACATGGGACGACTTAGATATTACAGATTGATTTTATGTTATTAGAATGGTACCAAATGCAATGAGCAGAATACGTCAATCTTCAAACAGCAGATATCTATCTATATTTATAATCAATGGAGCACAGATTTGTCTATCACGTCATTTTGATTACTTGCGCGTTCCATAGAATAATGGTTCATAAAACAACATATAATTTAACATATGTTGTGGCATGAGAAGTATCATTAGTGCAAAAAGGTAAGAGATCGATAAGATATAAATATTGCATTTTTAAAAATTTCCTTTCAGAATTATGTATTTGTCCAACAACTTTCGCTGGAATGGTGCATTATGGTATATTCTGTCGAAAGCAGACGATACAGAAAGGAACGCGATATGGTCCATTCAAGGGGAAAATAGTAAACACGAGCGAGATAAAATCTTTTGATGACAACAGTTACATGTGGGAGGTATTATTTCAGTTTTTATATTTAAGAGATTTTTACGCGCTTTTTCAATGGTCAGATGCCAATACATTGGTCAATTATAGGATATTTTAAAGAGACTGTAATGAATCTTTGCAATAAAAAAATAATCCCTCCCCCAAACAACAAAAAAACTAAATAAAACAACCCCTCCAAAACAATAACAACAACAAAAAAAAGCAAACAGCAAACAAATTTAAATTGAAAAAAAAACAACAAATAGCAATATGATTCTTCTAAAACCATCGGCAAAAATTCACTTTGAAAAATGTTTTAGGAAAAATACAGAAATAGATCTTACAAACTATGGAAGAGGATGTCACTCAATTTGAAACTTAAATTCATAAAAATGTAACCATGCTAACCTTTCCTTTACATGTCGTCTGCTTTATAAATCTTATATAGTAGAAGATAAAGATATTTACATCGTTTTAAAATCTGATATTGATTGTTAAGATAAAATCAAGTTATTTGTGTATAATATTTCAGATATTTAAAGAAGGAAAACTTAGCCACTTTATTGATGGACGCGGCGCAACCGGAAATTGGATGTCGTATGTAAACTGTGCGCGCCATATTTCAGAACAAAACGTTACAGTTGTGCAAGAGGGAGGTCAGATATTTTACGAGGTAAACACTATAAAGTTAAAATATTTATTCGAATGCCAACAAAGATCATATTTTGCTGCTTGATTTCTTATTTAAACATGGTCAGTTTTGTAAATTCACCAATTACAAGACCTTGTTAACAAAAGTGTGATCCTGAATTATAAATGCTAGGTACATAAACTTTCCAGATTAATTTCCTCAAGTAAATAATATAAAACAAAACTGTGTGTTTTCTATTTAAGTAAGCTTGGACCAAACTAAATTCTAATATTGGATTGCCCGACACGGAATTCAAATTTTTCTAAAACGTGCCAATTCGTAAATACAAGTATTCACCATTTTCCGTGAATATTCACCATTTTCCGTGAATATTCGTCATTTTCCGTTCCTCTTCAACAAAAGAGGCAAGAACGTGAACTATTTCAATAACTTCTTACATATTTCCAAGGTGTGTCGCGATATACATCCTGGTATGGAAGTCTTGGTCTGGTATGGAGACATGTACTCACAATTTATGGGGATTCCTGTGACCATCGCCGCTACAGAAGAAGAAAAGCAAAGCGAACTGTTAGCAGAAGACAACTGTAAGTCGTATTAAAAAATTAAAATCGCTTACAGCAATGCAAAAATCTTAAAATCGCTTACAACAATGAAAAAATCTAATCATATTTAGAACCGATTATTTCCTTCTCAATTGGAATTCTCTAAAGTAAAAGACCTATTTCAAAGTGCAACAGAATTAACCTACATGTAACTGGCTTAGTTCACGTCATAACATAAAACATTTGTTATTACGGTTTGCTATTAGAAAGCTAAACCATTTTACATCTTTATAGTTCCTCTTGCGACATTAAATGTAAAAGGAAAAAAGAACTACATTATTTGCTTGTGACAAGGTGATCTTAAAGTTCTACAATGTTGTCCTCTAATTATTGTAACTTGGGGGAACGTTAATTCTTTTGATTCCCCTCCTCAGACATCTTGTGTCTTGTTTTATGAAGGTTTGGATTATGCGTATATTGAAAACCTTTCTAAAACACCGAACACGGCCGAATTTTATTGCGGTATCAGGACCAGAGATTAGTTCATAATCTTTGTCACCCACATTGCAATAGCACCGTCTTATCTCGCGTTTACGAGACGAGATCTTGTTTTTACGAGAATCAAACCACAAAGAGACGGAGATTTTATGACCGTATTCCACAAATCTATGATTTTAAAGAGTATTTTTATTACCCTGACCAAATGTTTTTAAGTCTTCAAGTGAATTAGTATTTTCTTATTAACGAGTTTTTTTCCATAATAAAACAGATACCATTTTCAATAGACGCTCGTGTATTTTATCGCGCGAGCGCACGCGCTCAATTGACTTTTTCTGTTCGTTCTCTTCTTTCATTACTCGAACACGAGCATCTGTGATACTTTGTGTGACTATAAGACGGCACTATTGAAATTAAATTGAATTTTATACACATTAATTACATGTATTGTCAAGTTAGATATATGATTAAATTATATGGCAACTCGTAAAGCACCCATCGTATAAAATTTAACAATTCATTTAATGACATGGATAGTTTATTTTTCTAATAAAATTTCTATCTCAAGAGATAGAACATAGAATATAGATATTTTACTGATAATACCGTTATGCAATTATAAACGAACGAACAGTTTACATGTACCAATATAAGTTATAAAACATCAGGGGAAGTAACTTGGGTCGGTATCACGCAATCACATTTCGTTCTTACGCGTTTGTATAGGATAGTGCAAGACCATTCTCGTTTTAAAATACGAAAAATGACTCATTTTATTTCATTACTTTTTAATAGTTTTTTCAACATTTCATTTATAAGTAATTTTATGAGTACAAAAATGTATATAATAATTATCTATATTTGACAGTATCCAGTAACGAAGGATACCAGTGTGAAAGATGCGGGAAGGTGTTTGCGTATAGGTATTATAGGGACAAACATTTAAAATACACACGGTGTGTAGACCAAGGAGACAGAAAATTTCCATGTCATTTGTGTTCAAGGTATGTAAGCACCTGTTTAATTTTATCATTGAAGAAAATATATGCTAATAATTAGTGATATTAATTCGCTGTTTACAGATCCTGAATGTTGTAATTAAGGCTGTTACTACACTAAAGTGAAATTTTAAATATGTACCAGTATATAAATATGCTTCTAAAACAATTTTCATATATCAAGGAATATATAAGATATGTACTGCAAATAGTTGTCTACATTATATGTAATCATTAAAATAAATGCATTCATTTCTTATTGAAAAGTTTTGACTCTGACTTTATATTTCTAATTCCCTTTATTTACATGAAATGTAAATTCGGTAATATCCTTACAAATAATGCTTTTTAGAACTTACACTATTGATAAATCTTCATTTCAGCATAATACATTGATATTAAAACCTTTAAAAATTGAATTACAGGATCTTTAATTCAGCATTTCGTGTTTATAATTGGATGTGGTTTTTTATTATGATTATGAAAATATGCATCTTTTAATTGAAAATATTTTTATCCTGATCGAAGATGGAATTTAACATTCTTTTTTTTAAGTTTAAAGTGAATTGGTCTTCAATGAGCACATTTTGTTTATTTTGTTCTGTTTGTAATTAGTATAATCATAGTAAATTAGTGTTTTGTATGGAAGTCAAAATACTAATTTGTTTTCATTTTACTGTCTTTACGACATTGTACTGCACACACTATTTAGCGCTAATTTCTTCACTTATTAAGCATCTAATGTCTTATCTAATAAATCATGTCCTTAATTCATTGTTAGAACATTATCATTATTAAAACACATGTTTGACATTTTAAAGAATTAAAAAAAAAGTGTGGATTTCTGAAGCATAATGTGCCTTTAAGGGTTTTCAAGATCAAGATACCACCAGGAAAAAGCCCAAGCCGACTACACGCTCTATTCTTGTGGCAACGGCATATCATTTTCGGTTCTAGCAGAATTTATGCGTTAAGCAAAATAGGCACATACACAGCATTAAGTTAAATATGAATCTTCCAATATTTACAGGTCATTTGAAAAGCGGGATAGATTGAGGATACACATTTTACACGTGCACGAGAAGCACAGACCTCATAAATGTGCGGTATGTGGAAAAAGTTTCAGTCAATCTTCAAGTTTAAACAAACATATGAGGGTGAGCGGTTTTCTTCTTTCCTTGCAAAATAACAGGTGTGAAATGTGGTACTTATACTTTATAAGAATCACGCGATCATATGCTTTTATAAAATTGGATTGATATCATAGGGGCAATGCTTTAAGCTTGTTATGAAATAGAAACAAAATATTAATGTAAACAATTTATCCATCCATCGATTGCGTATAAAAATATCGCACGTTTTTGAGACATTTACCAAATAATTCATTATATCAAATGCATTCTATGATATTTTTGAATGATAGGTATCGTGTTCTTAATAATTTGTAAGTAATGAAAAAAAATAATTGTGTTAGTCTATGATTATATCTTGGTATATAGTGGAAAAGGCATATGGAAAAATAATATGAACGCAAAGTGAAATTCATCGTCAATATCTTAACATTAACAAAATGTGCTTAAAGGCCAATAACCAGCTTGATTAATGTGAATTATTCACGGAAGCTGCACGTTTTAATTAGCCACATCACTAGCACCATAATAACAATGCTCACACCATTGCTAGTGCCGATTTTAAATTAACCCGATAAGCTAATTAAAATTGAATTCTATACTTTGATTTTACAGGTTCACAGCGGGGAGCGGCCGTATAAATGTGTATACTGCAACAAGTCTTTTACGGCTTCAAGTATCCTACGGACACACATAAGACAACATTCCGGGGAACGACCTTTCAAAGTAAGCTAAAGAAAAATAGTATTTTCACATTATCTTTTTATTATTCTTTTCTAGTAAAAGGCACATTATGCCTCAGAAAAAAATTAAATTTCGCTTCTTCAGAAAGGGCAAATATGTTTTCATAATGTTTAAATAATGGTTCCAAAGAATTTTAGATGCTTGCTACCTGAAGAAAGTAGGTATAAGTGCTAGATAATTTGTTATACTAGCAAAATGTAAACGAACTGACTATAACTGTACTCCTTGGCAAAAAGCAACAGTTAAGATAATTGGCCGATGAGTAACATTTTGGATATTATAGAAGTACACCAAAATTAAAAAAGCTTTTGAGAAATAGAAATATATATAGGCTTAACGGACCTTTACGTACATCAAATTATTAAGTACATAAAAAATCTGTTGTAAACCTAATAAATTGAAGCTTTTCTTGATAATCTGCGAAACTGCCATGTATTGCAACGAAATGAAAGATTATAACATTTAACTAAAACACAGTTAAAGCTATATTGTTTATTAAGGTCCTTCCAGATTCCAGAAATTTGTCGTCAAATGCGATTACTCCAAGCTTAATTTGAAAAGAGAACAACATTTCCCTTTTTTAAGCCATATATTTGTTTCTGCTTCTTTGCGTCATGGTTAGAAAAGATGAACGCTGTCCAAAAATATTAGTCCTTAATTGTTTATTAGTATTGTAAATTGAAATGAAACTATTAACAACGGATAATTTGAAAGATAACATTTTTATAGTGTTTTAATTCCACGGCTTGTCTTTGCGTGCTGGTTAAGATAAGGAGGGGATAAGTTTAACATGTGACTGGTTGTTTCACAATAAAACATAACTAATTAAGTTTCAAAGTCATTTCAACTTCTGAAATTAGGAGGCTTATTATGAGTACTTTATGACAAGATATGATTGTTGTCAAGCATCGTTGTGGCAGATGTCATCCGATTGAAGCGAACGTACATATGCGTGCTTTCAGTACAGATGTACCAAAGTTACGGAGCAACTCACGCAGAAGTCACGCATTCTATTTATTTTTCCAATGTTTAAACTATCTTTTAATAAATTCATGTTAATTTTTTTCTACACTAAAGAAAATTCATTGAAGATCGATGTGGCAATAAACTATGCTTCAAAGAAAGATACTGTTACATAATTTTATCGATGACATCTATTTCAGTGCAAGTATTGCGGGAAGGCGTTTGCATCGCACGCTGCGCATGACAGTCACGTGAGGCGAACTCATGCGCAGGAAAAAGCGAACACTTGCAGAGAGTGCGGCCAACAGTTTGGACATATTTTTGACCTGAAATTACACATGAGAGTTCATGAAGGTATTGCATACTATTTTGACCTTTCATATTGTTTTCAGTTGTGTACACACTTATATAACATTGTGCTTCCAACGTTACAGTCTACTTTTGAATAAACATTTCTAAAAAGGTACCTGACGTGCCTGTAATAGTTTTTTTTAATGAAATTTATGCAAAACAACTAGCAAGAATCTTCTACCGGCATTTTTGTTATCTACTTTAGATTTATTTAATTAACAAATATTACATTTCTATATGATAGGATAAATCTGCATGTCGCATTGGCGAAGGTTTGCATGTTTTATATTGACGGACAAATATACGTAATATGAATTGTTTCATTTTAAAGACTCACTGTGCCTCAGAAATGCTTTTATTTTTATTTATCAAAAGCTTTTTTTAATTTCTGTACACTATGAATTGTTATTGTACCCAAAAAGTAACTCATTGGCCAATTACCTGAACCATCTTTTTCATCCGTTCCTTTTTTTTTTTGGCAATAAGTACAATTATGGTGAATTAGTATTTTGTATGGGAGTCAAAATACTATTAGTTTACATTTGGCTACTTTTATGACACATTATTTCATATGTATCGATACTTTCTTCCGGCAACAAGCATCTAACATTCTCTACAACCATATTCTAAACATTATAAACTTCATTCATGTTTGCCCTTTTAAAAGAAATAAAATAAATATTTGTTTCTGAGACTTAATGTGCCTTTAATATCGTTGTTCGTCCAGTAAACAAAATTGGCCGACAGAGTGAAAATTGATTTCTATGATAATAATGACGTCGAATTACAGATTCTATAATTTTAATATATACATGCATAAATTTATTAAATAAACTATTTGATTATCTGTTACCATGACAATTTTATTTGCCGCCACAAGAAGTATTTGTCCAGATATTTGAGAGCATGAACGTATAAATAATATTTTAGTTTTGTTGTGAATAACCACGATTAAAATTTTGTCTGTAAAAGTTTATTGATTTTTTTAAACATAAATACGCTTATATCTCTTTTAGGATCCGGCTTACCTATAGCTCAAAGAATGATAATGACACACGAGCAAAAATAAAAATATCATAGAAGCGGGGAACCGTTTGGACAACACTTATACCGTAACAAAGACGGATAATAGTTTTAGAACCAAAGATGGCGCAAAAAAAATCGGGGCACATCTCACAAAACTTGTAACGCCAACAAAACGGGCAACATTTCAAAGCACTTATTGCCGCATCAAGGTACTTTTTGCGGCAACAAAGTCTGGAAACAATTCAGAACACTTACTGCGGCAACAAAGCCAGGAAACAATTCAGAACACTTACTGCGGCAACAAAGCCAGGAAAAAATTCAGAACACTTACTGCGGCAACAAAGCCAGGAAACAATTCGGAACACTTATTGTGGCAACAAAGCCAGGAAACGATTCAGAACACTTTTTGCGGCAACAAAGAAAGAGAACTGTTTCAAAATGTTCCGAGCTATAGCAAGGGGGTAGTTATCTCACAAAATTTCCAGTCGGTTAATGGAAATAAACTGGGACCATACAAGAACTCTTGCAGTTTATATTTGGAGAATTTCAAACAATTTGTGATTTACTATTATGGTAAATGAGACCGCATCATTCTAAACTGTCTATAACATACAAACACTGTCAACATTGCTTTCAAAATACTATTGTAATGTATAACTGCATGTAACATTGACAATGTTTTGACAATCACTTTGAGTAACTTCTATAAATAAATTAAAATACATAACTTATTTGTTTCTTTTAAAAATTGTAAATAATGAACAGTTTATCAATAAAACAATAAATGAAATAGAAGCAATCAATCGTTTTTATTTTGTATGTGTAAATTCATCTAATTTCAATCTACACAAGTTTATAATACACATAAAGCTTAAAGAACGGAGTGGTATGATTTCTTTTTTGGACGCAATAATTTGGACATTGACTTCAAACATATTGTTATTACACGCAAAAGTCGTTGAAAGGATATAAAGTGTAAGAATTTTGCTAAAAAAAACCCATCATTTTCTGAAGCCAGCAGTCATGGCATCATTCGTCGGATTCCATTGCATTAGTTTGAAGGTTTTCTTTTAAAGCAATAACCAAAGGAAAATTGCCGTGAGTGATCCGCTTAGCATGTTCAAGTTTTGAATAGGATTTTTGTTCTTTCTGTAAATAAGGACACAGAGTTTTCGTAAAAAGCACACTTTTCTGGGGCCAACCATTAAAACACTAATTTTCTGATTCTGTTTCGGAAAAACTTAACCAGAAGTTAGAAGCTTTTTAACAGCAATATTAGACAAAAAGCAATTACTCAAAATAATGGCATTGATATTTGCTCGTGGCATGCACAGACGCTTGGGAGCTATTGAGTACTTGATGGTATACGGTATTTTTTTCATATATGTAAAAATTGTTTGAAAACCATTTTTATCATTATATTAGATGTCCCATTCGTGTTTAAATATTAAAATAGTTTTGATAGAGTTTATTTGGGCGTATCGCGTTGGGGGCAGGATCTATCCCCCAAGCGTCTGTGGTGGAATGGTTATTTTTGGTCCAGCTCTATATAAACTTGTACAAAATCGAATTCGCATTCGAATCAGTCAAACGTTTTTCACGGTTTTCTCGATAATATTGTGTTTATATACAGAAATAACAATCGCCGCAACAACAAAAAACGACCATGCCACGCAGAAATCTCTAGAACATATTTCATGGGTTAAGGCTTTGAGCCTTATATTGTGCACAGAATACCTTCCAAGGTTGCACAAAATCGAGTCTGCATTGAAATCGGATAAATGGTGCTTTAACAGTTGTTTCAGGAAATGGTGTTTTTATACACTTTATATACAGAAAGAACAAATCGCCTGAACACGTAACGACCATGCCACGCGGAAATCCCTAGTACATATTTCTTGGGTTATGGCTTTGAGCCTTATATTGTGCACAGAAGACCCTCCAACTTGATACAAAATCGAATCCGCATTGGAATCGGATAAATGGTGTTTAAACGGTTGTTTCAGGAAAATAGTGTTTCTTACACACTTTATATACAGAAAGAACTTGTAAATCGCCGGAAACAAAAAACGACCATGCCACGAAGAAATCTCGTACATATTTCTTGGGTTAGGGCTCGGAGCTTTATGTTGTGCACAGAAGATCCTCCAAACATGTACAACATCGAATCTGCATTGAAATCGGATAAATGGTGTTTAAACAGTTGGCTCAGGAAAATGGTGATTTTTATACACTTTATTTACAGAAAGAACAAATCGCCTGAACACGAAACGACCATGCCATGCGGAAATCTCCCAAACATATTTCTTGGGTTAGGGCTTTGTGCACAGAAGACCCTCCAAACTTGTACAAAATTGAATCTGCATTGAAATCAGACAAATGATGTTTAAACGGTTGGCTCAGGAAAAAAGTGAATTTTTCTGAAAATTTATACAATTTACTTACAAAAAGAACAAATTGCGGGTCCAAAAAAGTCCATGTCATGCGGAGATCTGCCGGACATACTTCTTGCGAGAGATTAGTGTTTTATATTTGGGAAAGAAGACCCTCCAAAATTGTACTCAATCGAATACGCATTGGAATCAGGCAAATGTTTTTTTTCAGGGTTGTTTCGAGATATTGTTTTTTTTTTACGAAAATTTCTACAATGTATATACAGAAAGAACATCTCAAAATCCAAAGCCAGCGCATTGCTCAGTTATGTATTCTACATGCTTCAAATGAGAAAATGTCAAAATCAATACACTGCGGACAGGCATTCTTAAGCATTTGAGCAGACAAGATTATTATAGTAAAAATCCCTGTGACCTTGACCTTTGACACAGTCACCTAAAAATCAATAAGGCTCATTTTCTAGTCATAAACAACCTCATTACCAAATATGAAGACTGTTGACCAAAGCATTGTTAAGCAATTGAGCTGACAGGCTATTTAAGTCAATGTCCCTGTGACCTTAACCTTTGACCCAGTGACCTCAAAATCAATATGGGATATCTACTATTCATGACTAACCTCCGTGCCAAATATCAAGACCGGTCGTCAAAGGAATCTTAAGTTATTGGGCGGACAAGTTTTCACGTGTGACCTTTGACCTATTTTAGACAAGGCCCCTGTGACCTTGACCTTTGACCTAGTGACCTCAAAGTCAATATGTGTAATCTACTAATCATGACTAACCTCGATGCCAAATATGAAGACTGTGGGTAAAAGGAATCTCAAGTTAATGGGCAGACAAGCTTTTTTTAGTCAATGCCCCTGTGGCCTTGACTTTTGACCTCAAAATCAATAGGGATCATCTACTTTTCATGACCAATCTAAATACTAAATATGAAGACTGTGGGTCAAAGGAATCTTAAGTTATTGGGTGGACAAGGAAAAACTGACTGACAGCCAGTAGGCCGGACAGGGTGACGGCCGGACTGACAAGGACAAACTGATTCCAGTATACCCCCCCCCCTTTCTACAACTTCGTTATGGCGGGGGGCGGTATAAAAAGTTTTCTGGATACTGGTATACATGTTTTATTCAAACTAACAAGGTAAGTAGCAAGAATTTATGGTAACAATGGATTGATTTATTTAATATAGTTAGGAAACAGTGTGTTACAAGACAGTTTCAATTTATTATGTGTTAAATTTTCAATTTTATATTTACTTTTTTTTATAACACCATTGCATGTTTTGTATGGTTTGTCAATACATTGTATTTTTTTCAGGTGATCAAAAATCTGCTAGATATAGAGCTTTCATGTATTTCAATAGAGTGGCTACTCAGATGCCTACTTATATTTTCACAGCGTGCGTATATGTGAAGGGGTTAAACGTGTGCATGCAAAATATACATTTATTAAAGACACTTTGTCTGAGTACTTTTGGGTTTTGGTGTTCGTTTTTTTCTGTTATTGGTCGTGATCTTCGTTCTTCTGTAATCGGTTCTCGTCTCTGTTTTCTGTAATCGGTCGTCATCGTTCCTCTGTCATCCATTCTCGTCTCTTTACTTCTGTAATCATTCCTGGTCTCCATTTTCATGTTGCCAATTATTTTGTCATCGGTCCCTGTCCTGTTATTCTGTTATCGGTCCCCGTCTCTGTCGTAGTTGTCAGTTCCTCTGCTATCGGTCTGTCTCTGTTCTTCTGTTAGCGATCCTCGTCTCTGTTCGCTTATTGTCAGTTCTGCTGTTATCGGTCCCTGTCCTGTTATTCTGTTATCAGTCCCCGTCTCTGTCGTAGTTGTCAGTTCCTCTGCTATCGGTCTGTCTCTGTTCTTCTGTTAGCGATCCTCGTCTCTGTTCGCTTATTGTCAGTTCTTGTCTCCGTTCTTCCTTCTGTTATCGATCGTCGTCTTCGGTCTTGTTCTTTCGGTACTTGTTTCCTGTTCCGTAAATGTCTTCTCTTGTTTCTATCGTTGCAGTCATTATGTGTCTTTGTCCTGGTTTTGTCAGTCTTGTAGTCATTTATTTGTTCAGTGGAGTAGCGGGGAATCGAACTCACGACCCCTTGATTTGAAGGCAAACAGTTTTACCACTGCACCATTGCGCCCGCTCTGAATAATAACCATTTTTGGAAATCCTTTATACATAAAATACTATTTCAATGGCTAACAAAGGGTGTATCACAATTATATTTTAACACCTCTACTATGTGGCCAACCCACGTGACTTTTATATATGGTCAAATAAAATATTACTCCATTTTTTACAAGTAATATTAGTATAGATAACTTTGCTGTTACTTTAAGATATCCTGGAAATTTATTTGAGGGTACCCGGAATTCTAATGTATATCAAATGATGTAAAATTTTCTCAAAACCGTGACTGGATTCCAAATTTTTCGAGAGCTGCCATGGTATAGCAAGCACACGTAGCAATCACCCGGTGTCAGACATTTTATGACTCCATGAAAATATGGTGTTGTTATTGTTGTTTTTAACTTGATCTTTAAATTTCAAATTAGATTATAATCACTTATTTTTAAACAAGATGGTAAACATTTTATGTTTTCTGTATTTTTGTTAAGAATGTGATAAAGTATACACTTCTAAGTTTAAGATTACTTTTTATCACACACCCGTTCCGATTTTGCGACTCCGTAAAAATGGTATTGCACGGCCGTGCATATATTTTGACGTGACGTCATAAGCGTTATACAAACATAGTGTAAAGACGCGCTGAATGTTAGCGTTATACTATAGGCGCGTCAATGAAAATGACTCTTATTTCACTTTAAACGGTCTTTATTTTGGGTATGTGATAAATGGAATATTAGATTCGTGTAAGTTCATTACTGAATTTATTGCACTCGTTGAATTAAATAATATTATGCTCGCCAGAGGCTCGCATAATATAATTTTATTCAACTCGTGCAATAAATTCAGTATTGAACTTACACTCATTCAATATCCTCTATTTAATATTATCGATTAGCCATCGTATATCTGAATGCAGTTATAATTGAATCTTAACAATGAATTATGCAGATATTATTTTCGGCAGAAAACAAAAAATACAAACAAAACAACGCACAAAAAACCTACATGCAGCATGTGTAATGTTCACAATGTGCTGAAAAACGGCTCTTTATTAATTTCAACATTTCAGCAAGTGACGATTATATTTTTATCTTTTTCACTGTGAAATTATCAAATATAATTTTCTCGGATAAATCAGTAATCCACTGAAAAGCATAAGATAAAAAGACTATAAAAACTAATGTTAGTAAAAGTCATATCTGCTAAAAATCTAAACGTCATTGTTACTTCCGCAGTAGTACAGCCGGTT